CACACGGGCTATATGTCACATTCGTGTAATAAAAAAAATATCCATTTCTTATTTCTATGTGTAAAATTATAAAGAAATAACAGGCAGAGTGTTATAAAAAGGGATTCATTAGCTAACACGCTTCCGTGCTCAAATTGACGGGGTCGGAATTTATTTATTCGAGCCAAATAGCGTTTGATGCCGGTCACCCCACGCCACGCATTGTGACTTAATTAAGTAACTTTCGGGTCCTCGTACAACCTAAAGGTAGTGGCCACATTCAATCATAGAATTATTGTTTTTAAACAACTTTTAAAAGAAGGAATGTTGATTTTTGTTTGTGATCATTTTTGAATACGTTCATCATTATCATGTCAGCCTTTAACTGTTCACTGCTGATAAGTCTTCCCTTGCGGGGGATTTACCAGTAGTTGCCACATTTGGCAGGCGAATTGGCAACCGCAGCTAGGCTTTGGAGATGTTTTAAGAGGGATGCTGCTGCCCATGCCTCGCTCTTTTTTTGTCGCCTCTTATGACACTCACGGGGAAGGAAGGGATGGTCTATTCTATGCCGCGACCAAATGTCAGAATAACATTTAAATACGTTACCAATTTGTAATTGTTTTTCATAGATTTTGCAGTCTATGGAGTTTACCCCCATGTCGGTTTTATATAATTTGGTGATGATTAAAACAGTTTTTTTTAAGGGCAAAAACTGGTCCTGGCATAGCCAAATTATTTGTTGACATTATTCCGCGTTCTAAATTCAAATATTTTTAATCGAATTTAAAAAGAAGGGAGTTCTTAATTTGGTTGTACTTTATTTGTATTATTACTTCATAATTCCATCAGTTCTAAATGGATTTTGAAAATTCTTTTATTATCTAAAAGTATTTGTTTTATTTATTTTATTTTATTTAAACTTTAATGCATATTAAAATTCTATGTACATTTGGCGGAATCAACACCGGACAGTGTTCTCTACCAGTCAACCATTGAGAAAACCGAGATTACTCGTATTAACGTAGGCGGTGCATTTTTTTATTAGAGGAAAAATAAAGCAATACTACACAAACGTACGTGTATCCTATTCCAATCTATAAGTATATCCTATACTTACAGATTGCTCCTATGGAAATTTGATCAAAATCGGTTAAGTATTTTTATTTTTAGACCAAAATAACTGGTTTTATCACAATTGATATATTTTTTTTGTAGGACACAATCTTTAATTATCAACGAAATATATTATTTATCGGTAGGTGTTTTACAAAAAAATCCAATTTTTGTATGAAGTGTAGTATACTCCTTATAGTTTGTGGAAGTGCTTTAGATATATAGTCGTATATATATATATATATATATATATAGCTCTTTGTTTTCAAATATCGAACTAATGGCTACTACGAATTGGGTTACCAATTAAATGTCATCAAATTTAATGGTTTGGATATACGTAAGTGTATGTAGCCTTGTGTACACAGCCCAACCCGAAAACTTTTAGAAGCGTCCATGTTTATTTTGTACTTTGATTGCTCTGTGTTTACACGCCATTTAAGTGTGTGATATTTGTGTCAGTGGTACTCAAAGTGTATATGGGCCTTCAAGTGTTAATAAAGGGTTCATGTCAGCGAAAAAATATTGAGGGTAAAAGGAAAAAATCAATATTGGGTCAGGCGGTCCACTTAAAACCGAAACAGGCGACGCATCTACGAAACAAAAGTTTGAGGACCCTTAATCTAAAGGTTGTTGACACTCTTCGTATTAACTGTTCCACAAAGCGAACACGTAACTGAATGAGTTCTTTTCCTTTCGTTTAAATATCTTGAAAGGGACTTGTACATAGTACTATTTTTGTAGAAATTGAACTATATTTATTTATTTGGAATCACTAAAAATTATGACATTTTATTTTTAAAACTTATGTTCATGTTTTAACCGACTTCAAAAAGAAGAAGGTTCTTAACTCGGTTGTATTTTTTCTTTATATTTATTCCATTATAACTCCGTAAGTTCTATCTAAACCTATTTGTAAAATGTTTTTTTTTTTATAAAAAAACTATGAATTTACAGATTAATGCTAAATAATATTTGTAAATATTATTAAAAAAAAAGAAGAAAAAATAACTTAAAATTTAGATGTAAAATAAAAATCTTAGTAAATGTGCGAATGGGTAAAAGAGAGAAGTAGTGAGTGAATGGGAGTTCCTAAAGAATTTTGCATTTTGGTGAAAGTTTATCAAGTTTCAAGGTCATTATGATTCTAGGAGTATATAGAGAATATTAATCACTAATAGTGATGAATATAGACGATAAAATCGATCATTGGCATGCATTTGTGATAGATAGAGTTATCGATTGAATTCAAAATGGTACATCCATATGACAGAAATTAGTTTACAAGCCTATTTATTCGATATTCGTCAACATTTCATGTAATAAGTGTTTGATTTGAAATCGATGTTAATTTACTAGAGGGCGACAGTGTAAAACACGTATGGGCATCTCTGTCCCACTTGTGTTACAGCCATCAAACAGTTGTAATCGTATAGCTTTTTTCTTTATAGGTGATAATGAAATAGTAACCCCACCCGCGCTATTGGTATACAATGGCGGGGCACCAGTGAAGGATGATAGACGAGGATGAAACAGGTCAGTTAGCCCATCGTGACGAATTCAACGAGAATTGTTCACGATGGTTTCCAGGGGGAACCACGCGGAGGTTGATCTGATAGGGCATATTGCTAGCAATGAGGCTGTCAAACTCCATTGTTAACAATCCCTTCCCCCCTGTAATCGTATAGCTGTTTCAGTTTGAAGAGTGTAATATGGTGTAATAAAGTGTAATATGAAAGTGAAATGATACGGTGCGCAGGTATCAAAGTCTTTAATAATGGCAAAAGCACGAGAGATGGTGAGGCGTCACAGTGTATTCTGTGAAATCCGTTAACTATACACTGTTGAACATAGAGGTCTCCTTATATTGGGGGAGGGGTTTGCCAAACTTAGTACTACGTGGCTTCTTTCTTAATAATTAAAAAAAGCACAAATAAAAAAAAAATACAAAAACAAAATATATAATCTAACAATCTCCTTTGTTACCATTCCTTCATGCGTGTGCCATAGTAACACAAAATGGTCACAGCTCAGTTTATTGCTTTGCCCTTAAAAGAGCAAAACACTGATATTATTATAAAGAGTATCTATCTATCTATTTATGTGTATGTATATATAAGTACTTTATATTATTCTCAATTTCGTGTATAATATAGTATATGTCATATATGTGTAAGTATATTTGTTATTTATATATATTTATTCGTTTATATATGTAATTTTAGTATGTATGTATATCAATAATTAGTAGTACCGCATTTATTCTGACACTTCCCTATGGTTGACTATATATAAATATGTACACATATTTGTACTAATGAATAAATAAATAAATAAATAAATATAATGTTGTAAAATTAAACAATTTCCATATTAATGTATCAGTGCCGTAGCTGTGTATACGAGAACGATCCAAAAGGCGTACTAATTGGATGGTAATGCCATTACCTTATTGCTTATTAGAATAATTATTAGGCCACAGAATTATCTTGTACATGAAATCTTGTTACGATAAAATTACGAATATGAAATTTTGTAAAAATGTTTGTTATTTAATTACACCTGAACAGATTTTTTGAATAATATTTGGTGTATTAACAAATTTTGTCTTAGATCATACATTCACAACCTTTTTATAGTCGGACTTCGTGTGAATTTTTTTTAAACTTTTTTTTCTGTTTTTTAAATTTTATTAGTGGTTAGGTAACTTCTAAATAAATTCATGTTTAAAAGAAAAGGCCATGCTCACCTTATGAAACCATTACAAAAATAGTAGCTCGTCATTATTTTTCAAATTTTATTTATTTATATATGTAGATAGCCGCAAAAGAACCAAAGTAACCGACATAGCCCGAAGGATAAGCAAGCTAAAGTGGCAGTGGGCTGGTCACATAGCTCGAAGAACCGACAACCGATGGGGAAGAAAGGTTCTTGAGTGGCGACCGCGTACGTGTAAACGCAGTGTAGGACGACCTCCCACTATATGGAATGACGACCTGAAATGCATTTAGGAAGTCAGTGGCTGCAGGTGGCTCAGGACCGTTCTTTATGGCAGTCTATGGGGGAGGCTTATGTTCAGCAAAAGACGAATAATAGCTGAAATGATGTTGATATATTATTTATGTCCTATATATTTATCTAGTTGTATGTATATACAAATTCCTTTATATTTATTTATGTATATATTATTTATTGTTTATAGGTATACATTATTAGCTGTTATTTTCTTTACTTATCCCAATAATAAAGTACCGTCACTAGAGGGAGACTTTGTACAAAAATCCTCTGTCCCATTCGTGTTTCAACCGTAAAACAGTTGTGTTTGCATGGCTGTTTCGGTTTGAAGTGTGGGATACGGCGTGATTTTACTGGGTACAGAGGAATAACACCTGAGTCTTCAGGAACGGCAACGCATGAGGGTTATCATGGGCGAAACAGTATACTCTGTTATGTCCATGGTACTGCTCATGTCTATAGGCGATCGTTACCACTTTCCATCAGGTGGGCCGTCAGCTTGTTTGCCATTCTGAGTTGTATAAAAAAAACCGCGTTCGTGATTCACTGTTCACCTCAAAGGTTGATTGGTAGAGAATGCTACTAGCATAAAGTCCGTATTTTGTACTATATATTCTTTTGGTCAGTGGAGTTATTTAAATAAAAAGTAAAAAAAAAATCATTGAATTGAAATTAAAAAAATGGAGGTTATATAGAAAAATAATTGTTAGTTGTTTTTTTTATTTTTAATGTTAGAATTTTCAAACAACGAGTGAATGAGATTTAATTTTCTTAATAATTCTAAAATTACAATTGTGATGTATGTATGTGTGATGAATTTTTGTTAAAAAAATAAAATAAATATAAGAACCATTTTTGCCTTATCTCAATATCGCTTACTTTCTTTTCAGATTAATGTAAATATTTCAAAAGTTTGAATTAGTTATCAAATTAGTGCTACGAGTAGTTTGTTATCGAATAGAAAATTGTTTGTTGAGTAAAAAACAACGAAGTGGGCAATAAGTTGTTAAGTTTCGTATTTTCAAGTTACCAATTGTTATAAGTGTTAAAATTAATAATAAAGGTCGGTAACCTGCGTAAGTCTAATTCAATTATAAGTCAATTCCAAATTTAAAAGTCTGTGATTGCGTTCCGTTAACCCCTACGATGGATTAGTCGATTCTTATGGTAAATTTAGAATTAGATCATTTGAAAGTGACTTTAAAATTTTGACAGTTGACATAGTGTTCGAAATTCAAAGTGAAATAACGTAGAAGTTTAGTGTTGTTGTGGTGTCCAAGTGATATAAGAGTGGCACACGAAGAGAAGCGGTTACGATATTTCAAAATGGCGTTCGCGGCTGCTCGTATGATTCTGAAGGACAAAAGGAGGAAGGCATCAAAGGAAGACTTCAGGGACCCCAGAAATAGGAGCAAGGTATTAAAACTTTTTAATATTGTATTGTATTTTCGACAATCTAGATAAATGAAGAATGAAAAATTAATTAATTAAAAAACAAACAATTTATTTGTTATAAACTTACCATAATTAAGTAAAAATTCCTTTTAATGAAAAATAAAATAAAAAAATAATAATACTACGAATATAATTTGATTAAATCATGAAAATACTAATTAATATATGTATTTTTTAATACATTAATGAATAAAACTATATACAATTACATGAAAAGTATTTAAACAGCTTACTTAACCATTTCATTGTCTTTAAACTAATAACAGTACATCCCCATACAAATTAGTTATTAATATACTAAATATGAAATAATGAAAGGTAAACTACGTCTGTCTTAATTAGAATTCATCTTTTAATAATTATATAAATAATTATGGACAACTATACCACAGAAATATTTACAGTATTATTATTAAATTATTTAATAATTAATATATAAATTCAAATTTAAGTTTAAATAATCTTTATTCAAAAAGACTTGTTTACAAGCACTTTTAAATCGTATTTTTTTTTAAAGTCTACTATAAGATTCGGAAAGTTGTTATCTGTTGAGAAGAGCCCCAAGAAACTCAACAGTTACTCTTTTAAATCTCTGTTAACTAAATATTGTAAGTATCATCATTTCAGCCGTTAACTGTCCACTGCTGAACATAAATCTTCCCCACAAGGGTAGTTTTGATAATAGTTGCCAAGCTTGGCAAGCGAGTTGGCAATCGCAGTTAGGCTTTTAGTGATGTTTTAAGAGGGACGCTACTACTCACCTCTCTATTATTAAGTTCCCTTAGTTGCCTGTTACGATACCCACGGCAAAGTAAGGGTTGGCCCCTTCTGTGTCGGGGCCATATTGTAAGTATAAATTATTTTAATTAAATTATTCATATTATCATTGCTATGTACATATATTAATGATTAAGAATTCAAGATTTTATTTCACAAAAAAAGAAAAAAATTAACTTCAATTGCTGTAAAACTAGTTATTTTGATTAAAGCACAAAAACATTGAAATCGTTTTGTTAAAATTCCTATGGAATCGATCTGAAAGTATATCCATCAAAAGAAATTCCAAATGTCCTCCTTTTTGAAGTCGGTTAAAATAGTAAATAATCATATGCCAGAAACACAATTGGCCAACTCATATGAAAATTAACTCGACAAACAAACCATTTAATAGTTGAAAATATAAGATAATGAGATGTGAAAGCATTCCCAAGTCATAATTGATTAAAATTTAAAATAGAGAGGAATTACTTATATTCGAAACGAAATTGATTTGACCTTTCATATAATAGGTTTCGTGGAAATGCTCCCAACATTTTACATCATTAAATTGACAGGGCAAATAGTATGCCAAATCGAGGACTTTTGTTTGTTCTTATTTTGATTCGATAACATTATTATGCAATTATTTATTCATGCAATGTTTATAAATACGTATTTTTTTATACAACTTAGAATGGTAAACAAGCTAACAGTCCACCTGATGGAAAGTGGTAACCGTCGCCTATAGACATGAGCAGTAGCATGGATGTAACAGTGTATACTGTTTCGGCCATGATACACCCCATGCGTTGCCATTCCTGAGGATTCGGGTGTTATTCCTCTGTACCCTGCAAATTCACGCCATATCCCACCCTTCAAATTGAAATACAGCCATGCAAATACAACTGCTTCACGGTTGAAACACGAATGGGACAGAGGTACCCAAGTAATCGACTTTTGTACAAAGTCTCCCTCTGGTATTTACTTGTTTGCCGTGTGATCCCAGCATAGAATAGGCCACCCCTTCCTTTCTCGTGGGTGTCGTAAGAGACGACTAAGGGAGGGCGAGGGATGGGCAGCAGCGTTCCTCTTAAAACATTTCTAAAGCTTAACTGCGGTTGCCAATCCCCCTGCCAAGTATAGCAACTAGTAGCAAAATCCCCTAAGGGGGAGGTTTATGTTCATCAGTAGGCAGTTAAAGGCTGATATGATGATGATGATGAAGTACTCGTATAGCTTGAAAAATATTGTCACTTATATTCTAAATTAACTGCCCGCTCCGGCTTTGCACCGGCGTACTAATGAAGAATTTTTATTTTTCCATAGGTTTTTTCAAATATTTTCTTTCATGTAAACCTTGTTTTCCCAAACACAGACAAACAAACTTATTAGCTATATTGATGTAATTGTATTGAAGTGATGTGTTCATATACGGCAGTTGATTTTTATTTATATAGATAAATATAAAAGTGAATGAAATGAAATTAATGCTAAATTACCTGAAATTGATATAGTGTACGATAATTCGAATTCCTACAGGAATAAATTGCTAAAGCACTTTGTACAACGATCTTATGAAAATTAACTCTAATTGTCATAATATATATTTTTTTAATATTTTTTTTTTTAATTTAATTCACTCATAATCTTATTTTCTGATATTGCTCACAACTTAGATTACATGTTTATTTTTGTTATTTACTTAATTTTCTTACACTGTATAATTATGTTAAAGTGAATGCTGTGAATACCTATAATAGGCATGTGCATTAATATTGTATTGTATTTGATGTTTGTTATACCTATATGTTATAATGCAATATGCTGTTGGTGTTCCTTAAATAAATAAATAAATAAATAAATAAATAAGTGTGTCTGTTTGTTTGGTAACTTAGCTTATTTACTGCTCACCTAATCGTCATGAAATTTACTATATAAATAGTAATTGTGTTGGGAAAGGATGAGGGCTCTCTTTGGAATCAACTTCCAGTAGCAGTATTTCCGAACAAATACGACAACATAATCTTCAAGAAAAGAGCATATTTCCTTTTAAAAGGCTGGCAGCACACCTGCAATGCCGTTGGTGTTGTGGGTGATCATGGGCGGCGGTAGTCATTTACCATCAGGTGAACCGTATGCTCGTTTGCCCACTGTGTTGTAAAAAATGCTATTTTTTAATCCTGGTTAATCAATCAATATACACCTATATGTAAATAATTTAATATTTCAATGTAGGTACAGAATAAATCGAATTGAAACGTGGTAAAATTAAAATGGCATTAATAAAGAGTAAATTCCATGGATTACGCGTAACGTGCACAATATATTCAGACGAAACGAGAACATATTTTCTTTTTGAAGTTACTTAAGGAGATATATATGTATAAATAGACGGTATGTATTTATTTGTTGGAATGGCGGCGTATACTTAAGAAGATTAAACCGCATTTCCAATCACATACACCACGTATTATATATAAATATATAGTTATAAATACATTTATTCAGCAAAAAGCGACTTTCCTGTGAAAATACACCCCCCTCCACACGCACGCACGCACGCACACGCACGCACGCATGCACACTCACACGCGCCCGCCCGTAACCACGCACGTACACACATTGATGACGAGATGTTTCTTACAATTTCAGTGAAAATGCAAAATACCCTACATTGTAAATTTTTGAATTTATAACGCGGATTTGTGAATTTATATAGATTTTTCTTTATAACAAACAGCATTATGTTTTTCAAAGAAAAACGCCAACTACAATAATACCACGATATAATAATACCAGCTCCTTCACAATTTATTTCGCACACACCACATGTTTTCCCCCATATATTTCGATGGGAAATGGTAGTTATAAGAGAATAGGAGTTACGGGGGTAATGTGTCGACGTTATAAAAATATGACCCCCATAAAGTGTCGCAATCTTGTGAAAATTAGGAGATTTCTTTATGGTTCTATTATGTTCATTTTTAAGCGATTTTCAAATGGAGGTTATATTTAATTCATGAGTATTTTATGGTTCTGTTATTTGGATTCCCTTATGTTCACCTCCTTGCTCGTCACTGGTTTTTATTATTGATAAAGCACGAACTTTGGTCCAGAAGAATAAAATCGAAATAAAAATTGAATGCAATGTGTTGACGTGTATTGTGAAAAGCGATAAAAAAAAAGAATCCGACAAGAATTAACCACGAAGAGGTTTCAGGGGGAACCACGGAGGTCGACCTGATAGGGTATATTACTAGCAATAGGGCTGATAGAACTCATTAGTATCAATCCCTTTTGTCCCGCTATGGAATATTTGGAGTGTTACGGAAAGCTTTTGCACAAGTGTCTCTGGGTGATGGGATGATACACTGATACACGCGGGCGAAGCTAACGAACACAGTTAGTCAAAAACAAAGTGATTTTTATGGCTATTCCAAATTCCAGGAGTATGTTAAATGTATGAAAATCTAGCAATATGCTCCAAAATCAAGCAATTAAATCAGTTCATTCAATAATAGTTTATTGCAGTTTATTAGATCGCTTTATTCGGAAATTGCTCATTATAATACGTTGAGCGGCGGGACCGATGGACAGATCGTCTATTACACCATATTGAAATGTAATGAACCAAAAAATAACTATTGTATAATTATAATAATAATAATAATAATAATCATTTATTTACAAAATATTGGTGATTGCCAGTAGCAGATCTTAAGTTATTGTTAAATAATTGTTCAGCAATATTTACCATTTCGGTGTGTAAATGTTTTTTTTTTTTTTTTTTATAATATCCAAAATAAGTCAAATTAGTAATAATGTAGATAGAGACCAGTTATTCATAATTTACAAGATTACAAGCCCACTTTCAGTTAATTAAAAAATTCTTATTACAAATTTATCATATTCTATTTAATTAAAAATTCGAAAAAATGACTAGTTTTCTAAATAATAAAAATGTTTAAAAATAATATTTAGCGATAAGGCCGCCCGTTGTTGCCTCTTTATCTTGATTTTATATAATTAAATATTCAATTTGTTTATGTAATTATTGTTAATCTTTATAATTTGTATCATTCTTTGAAAGGAGCAATAAAGAGTTTTAATTTATTGATTCTTTCTCGGGAAAGGAAGGGCTAGCCCGTGCCGAGACCACACTGCGAACTTGTGCCACTGCTCTGGCCAAATATACATGCCAG